CTAACGAATCGTTCGAAACATGGTGATGCAGTGGTATTCGAAAGGATCGACTGCTTGTCTTCTTGGCCATCTGCCACGTAGATTACGGCAACCTAAAAGAATACAAAAATGATGACCAGACCCTGACAGACAACTAGGAGTATGTGACAAGACAATCGAAATATACCGCAGTGATGGGCGTGGCGAGCGCGCCGCTTCCGACAGGCGGGTTGTCTCACCTGTCCGTTTGTATATGATTGTCAAAGGGATGGGTAAATTTAATATGGCCCGTCATGAAATTTTGCCTATGCTTCAATTCAATGAGTTCCGCTACTCCAATCGACAAACTGCTGCACATCCAGAATTTGCCGCGCATGGCCGCACAAACGCCGTGCGCGGCGGTGCGACATATTATCATTGTCTTGTCCGTTTCTCGACAACTAGGATGGCACTGGTAGACAGCTTTACTTCTTTAAAACAAGGTAATACTGAATACTACGACGCAGATAGGTATAGGGAAGGTCATTTGAAGTACCCCTCGTTGCTAAAACGTAGATGAGGATTTCTGAACAATCATAGGCATACGATAGTGAGGGAACTGATTATGCGAAAAGGGGTTTCGCAATACGGTAACCCAAACCTCGCACATGCAGTTCTTCCAGTCCCACCCCAAGCGAGCCTTTTAATGCAACCACTCCAAGCCGGCTTGAGCCGATACTATCATACGTGCTGGTTTTCACTCACCTTATGCACTTCTCTCGCACACGTCTGATCCAGATGCTTCAGATCACGCGAGAAGTTCAAAGGCACTTCTGAGACATTTGGCACGAAACCAAGACTAGCAGCAACGGATCGCCATTCATGTAGTCTAAACAAGAGGCCTTTATGGAACTAACATAAAAGAACACCTACTCACGGGATGACTGCTGATAGAAGAGCAGAAGTGGGGAATATGCTACAAAGGTGCTCACCGAGACGGCGCAGATTTCGCAGCAGACGGTGGTAGCGGTTTCAAAGGTTGCGGTTGTCGTCGGCTATCCTCCACGATTGCCATCCATTCCGGTGGCGCTTTGCTAGGCACGACATTACTCTGACGTGGCAGCGCATCAAATGGATCATCCATCGCGCCAAGAATGCCAACAGAATCTCTTCCTGAAGGAGGAATCTGATCCTTGGCAGACTAAGGGAATACTAGGAGTAAAGTGCAAAGGAGAATTCCAACTTATTACGTCATGGTAATGATAAGTTCGGAAGATTTCACCTGCACGACGTCCGCGCTGTGCTTCTTTCTGTAGCCATGCATTCACGTTACGCCACTCCTTACGCTCAGTTTTATGCGGTTCCAGAACCCAACAGTGCCTTCCAACGACCGTGCGAGTCGTCACTTCCAATTGTTGCTCCTTATTCACTCTGGAAGGGAAAGCTAAGGTTCTCACGTCTATATGAGATTTGTTTTCTAGGCTTAGACAACAGCTGGACATTAACATTCATATGAAAGAATGGCTTCAGCGATTCGTGAATAAACTCCAGGAACTTCTGGATCACATAAAATGGGTCGCATAATGACACACAGGCTGCCACAAATGTGCATCGCAGCCAGCAAGATAAATAAAGTCCTATTTACCAGTTCACGTACCCGATAATAGCACTATCCTTCTGCACAAAGACCTGCGTATCATTCGGTTTCGTTGGTGTTGATTCAACTGAATTCCATTTGGACACGTTGAAGCCAGGCAATGGAAACTGGTTCTCCATTGTCAAAAGCGCGCCTAGGAACGTTAAAATCTAAAATTCAAAGGACAAACCATACTGAAAATCCTACCTTCCAGCAGCTTCTGTTGATCCACCAAAAATGCTCTTGTAATCTGCGGAAGTTCACTTTTCAATGAGTGCGACAACGCTAACGAGGCTATCGTCCACTGCACTTCAGCTCGCAGGCGCTCGTCACGTTAGTTACCAGTTCACTGAGAGCTCCGTGAACAGACTCGGCTGCACTCACCAAGCTCTCCATACTCTTCCGTCGCAGAGTCATGAACGGAGCCGACTAGAACCCCTAATTGCTCATTGCTCCTTGCCCCCCATCTCAAGTGCATGAACGTTCTTCACTTCAAAAATGGTGGACACTGTTTATTACTTGTAGGATAAGTGCTATTAGAAGTGGGAATAAATTGGTCTATGATTGTAACTGCGTCATTTCAGGGACGAAGGTTCGAAGGGATCCTCAACAGGTTTTGCTGGATTCGTTACCGCTGGAACGAATAAACTAATAACTGTTTCGGATTCGGCTCTGGAACTGGCTAAACGTCGTTTGAACGCTACGCTAGAAGACGCTCCCCAAAGGTATGGCTCAGTTGTTTCCCTGATGCAGGAACTCGCTCTCATGAGCTTTGGCAGTTTCCAGCACTAGCTGTGTAGCAGATACTGAGAATCGAGATCCTACCCGACTCCCTGTACTGTCAGACAGCAGGTACTATTTTCGTGCAGTTACCATTCCTTTGTATTCATCTAACGGCTGAGACAGCGTCTATAGTTTGTGATACCAGAGATGGGACACAGGTAAGATTGCGCGAATCTGCGCTCCTCCCATACTGCGCGACTCGAGCGCTCAATGACGCAATGCGAATCGTGCAACCATGAACGCGGCCTGAGTTGGGTGGCGACAAGCGTGAGAGTAGTGACGTGCTTCACTGAAAGGCGGCGCCTCTTTGTCCTAGTTCTTCCCTTACATCTCTTCGTCTACCATACCCAATCCATTGCGTTTTGAATTGGGAAGAACTCCCTCCCTTAAACTTCAGAGATGTCTCGCTTAATCTCACAGCGTCAGGCACTAAAAGCCGGTGTCGCGACAAGTTTGCTTCAACCTCATACTCATTTTTGCCATTTACCCTCGACAAACTGCACTGTTCAGTGAAGTTTAGCGAAGAAAATGGTCACGTTTCACTAGCCTTGGGAAGTTTATTCAAAGTCGCTGGGAACTGTTGAGTAAGCATCGAGATAACTTGTTCATAACGATGGAAGTTCCACTTATTTTTGTCAGCAGTTTGAAAACGTACGAAATGAGATAGCAATGCTATGTTCCAGGGTTCATTTCTCGAGGCGTTTCTAAAGTTTCCCTCTCATCATATCACCTTAGACATGTTTTAGCATTTCAGGGCCCCTTTACTATGTGTTCAAAGTACTCATAAAGGCTCCCTAAGCAAGGTGGATTCGTATCGCCACTCCTCCGGAAGACTCCACGGTTTGTTTATTTCGCAGTCTAGATGTTCTGTCAAGTGTTGTCCAGTTCCTGAGGATGTATAACTACGTTTAAAAAAAAAAAAAAAAAAAAAAAAAAAAAAAAAAAAAAAAAAAAAAAAAAAAAAAAAAAAAAAAAAAAAAAAAAAAAAAAAAAAAAAAAAAAAAAAAAAAAAAAAAAAAAAGGAAGTTTTGGGTGCCAACAATTGAGCCATATCCATGTGTTACTTGTCTTGTCATATGTTGTCACCCTCGTTTTCTAGCCTTGGAGCGGGTGTATAAACCACGTCCCCCTTTCTTAAGAGAGCCCATGCAAGCACGGGACACACATAGCCGCTTCGCCTAAACACGGCACGTCGTACGTCGGAAAACTTAGCGATGCCAGAAAAAGGGGTTATGTTGCGGCTACTGTTCGCGAATGGCAACTTACTATTCTGGAATTGAATGCGAAGAGTTAAACCCCACAACCCTCAGTCCTAGACGCGACGTTGAAATTTTTTAAAGGTGAGTAAGAACAGCTTAAACAGGAAGTGAGGTGCAGGGGTGATCGTATTTGGAAAAGGAATTACTTGATTCGGGGGGGGGGATGGGGAGATCGTGTATTGAAACCCAACCACTACATCCTGCTACAAGAGAGGCCTAATAAATGGGCGCCTTCTGAATGCAGACATTTTCATCTCGAACGGCTGACTTCTTCTGTCAGCAGTGTGTTGGTGAATTTACGATGTACGTTGCTATGCTATTCTTTTTAGGATTTTTTGCTTATATTCCTGCATGTGGCAAGTATTGTTGATTGACTTTGAGAATTAATAAACCTTTATTATCTACTTTTCTATGGTTACACTTCGTTGGCCGTCCAGACCTACAGTCTATTTTTTTTTTCTGACTGCATAGATGTGCAACGTGACAAGATTTTATCAAAGTGTCTACTCGATTCAACACTTCAGCCTTCTATCACTCCTGCTGACCAGAGCTAGAAGTAAACAATAATCACCATCTCTCGAACCGCCATCACGCTGGTTCCGTAGAGTCGCCCCACGTCACTGGAGGTGAGCTGTTCAGTTCAGCCATCAATTTTCCCAAGGAAACGCACAAGTCGAATAGTAAATGAAACAGCAGATCAGTTCCCTGTTTGTAGATCGAGAGTTCATGATTGTGGAGGCTTTCACTTCTTGACGGACGTTTTTCTCTTTTCGGTGCATATTCCTCGGTCCATAGTGTTTCGCGATTGCAGGTACTTCTATATTGTAATGTATTTCGCGTTTACCTAAACATGGTTCAGGTAACTGCACCACTGTCCCTTCCGGACCCGCCTACGACCTTGGCGCTTCGGTGGAAAAAGAGCTCTAAGGCCGCAGGCGACCGGTATGTGTCTTCCAGTATTTTTTAGTGAGTGGTCCGTATCCACTTTGGATCTTCGCCGTCGGTCCACGGCAGTTCCGTAGCTATACCGCGCTTGTCGTGCGCCTGCCACCGTCGTGCGGCGGTGCCGCACCAGTTTGTCGACTAGAACAGCGAAACAAAAAAAAAACCATAAATTCAAGCCCAAGCAAGACTCCATGGCTGTAGTATTGATCTTTCACGTCCCTTAACATTTAAGTCCAACCGTCCTGGTGGGACAACTCGTTCAGCTCGTCCTAACGGATAAGCCAGGTCAGTTCCGCTTACGCGACAGCGCGACATATTCGGCGATTGTCTTGTCACATACCTCTCCCCATATGCAGGCTCGTCGGTGTGTGGTTACTTCTCGTCGGCCATTTTGCAGCGTCTGAGTGAAAAGCGCGACAGTATTCGCTGGTAATCCGGCCATCGTCATAAACAGCGCAAAACGCGCGCGCCGACAAAGTATGATTTCCGCCACCCTCGCAGCTACCCCTTAGCGGGAAATACCTTTACATCGGATAGCGCCATCAACTAGAGCGAGACGGCCTCGGCGTGTCAGTAAACCACAAAGCTGCAGTAAATGCATGTAATATAAGGTTATATTCGTTCACGCCATAACATCAGCGAGGGCTTTTCGCGGGTCTGCGCAGTTCGTTTCAGAAGTACCCTTACTGAGCTTACGTTGCTTGTCGTGTAGTTTTTCATCTATCCTAACATTTGCTTTTGCACCATGTCATCTGAGCGCACACTGACATCCAGCAATCCCAGTACGACTCTGGGTCCAGATCAATGCAGTGACAATGTGCGGATGACTCGCGTTAGAACGCGCCCGCTATGGAGCGGCACACAGCCTTGTTATAGGGGTAGAAGTGACACCACTGTCCGAAGAGCGTTGCTCGCCATCACGATCGGTGTTCGTGATTTGAGAGGCCCTGGCAAGGCAGATACTGCGGTTCTGGGGTACTCCTACCTCCACTTTCTGCTTGAGAGTTTCCTCTGCTTTTCCTTCCACGCAAGCCGCGATTGCTGAGCGTTATGGTACTTCGAGATTTCCTCCCGGCCCGCCCCTCCGTAGTCACGGGAAAGCACCCAGCCAGTCGGCATACTTCAAAGTAACATTCCGACGTCGTTAACGTAGTCTTTCTTACTCTTGACCTCTGTAAGTTCGTTATTGCGTGGCTGAGAAGACGGGGACAACCTGCAACACTCTTTCTGAGGATTGTGGGGGCCTACCGCTGTGCCTATACTGCGAGAGGTGACGATGAATTACCCAGCGATGCGTCTCCAGCGTTACCTCTCTCGCCTCCTCCTCGCTCTCCTCTCTCATCTTCTCGTCGTCTTCTCTCTCTCGCATTCTCTCTCTCTCTCTCTCTCCTCTCTCTCTCCTCTACTCTCTCTCTCTCTCTCCTCAGGAGTGCAGAGGAATGGGGCTGAAAGGTAGGGTAAGTGATACCGTAGCATCGTCTCCGTCTGCGCGCTGCAGCACGGCCTGACGGCACCCCAAACCATAGCTAGCCGCGCTACTTGTCTGCGCTCTATCGCTTCTGGTTATCGTTATCCTCTCACGTTGAGTGCGTGTTTCGCTACGCGAGATCTTGGTGTCTACACGAGCACTGCACACTCAAAATAGCGCGGCGGAGTATGGAGACGCCACCCAGCTGTCACTACACTCCAATTCTGCACGGCGCGGGAAAGTGTACGCCTATAGCAAATATAAATCTTTGTAAACAGCATTACAATGAACTATGTTGTAACAATCTATAAATGCAGAATATTGAGGCGGTCGAAAGCAACAGACGTAGCTCACCTTTCCGTTTCGCACGTGCCCTTAGACGGAAGCCGAGCAAAAGCATATTCCTCCTTCCGTGCTCTTCAGTAAAACCATTCACCTCGCACTTGGAAGGATTCTTGTCCTCGCGAGATGCAGTGTGACACTGTTCCCAGCAGTCTGCGCGCTTCGAAACGTAATGCATTTACAGGTGGCTGATAGATATGGAGAATCAGTGCAGGTTGAACTGCTATCGAGTTCCATTCCGACTGACATTTCAGCGGGCTCCGTGATATCCATCGGAGGAGCTGTAATCAAGCGGAGCCAAGGTACAGTACGAGAACCAGCTGATTTTGCTCATCCTAGTTCCGTGCACTGCATTTTAGACCTGTCGAATATATGTAAGCCAAGAAGATTCGTGAATGTTGTTAGAAGAGAACTTTAGTCACTTAGAAGTTTCTGATGTCCTTTACAGGTACATTATCGCTCATTCTGAACGACTCAGCTTTCGTTGATGTGGAGCCCCGCGACCCTGAAGCGGAATGTCTTCATCGACTGTTTCTTACTGGTCTATTCGACACAACACCATCGGAAGACTATTTTACATGTAATTCAATTTTAAGAACGATTTCATTCTTTGAATACACTTTCGCCAACAATATTCCTACCTATTTCTAGTTGATGGCACAGCTCTTCGTGTGATTGGTCGTCTCAGTGAATACTCCACCGAAGCGTCAACTGTTATGGCTAGGATTTGTAGCATTCATTACGAAGCTTTGGTATACCTAGGGTCCGTCAAGCTACTTTTTGGCAAAGGCCACTCTAAATCACCTCTTTATAGCTTCTCGTTTCTCAGTCGGAGTCGCTAATTCAATCTTCTGTAGTTCAAAATTATAGATCTCATTCTAGCTTTTGTTTGTTGTATGTAAACGTCATTATTTAGTTGCACCACGTGTAGAAGGTATGCTATTCAAGGTCCTGATGGTGTTCAACCGTGCCAAAATTGCCAAAGCAAGAAGGCTCGGTATTTTTACTCCCTTCATGTAAGTTATTCTTCCTCCTCGTTTTACTGTGGAAGAATGAGATATTAGATGCTAGTTTGCTATTCATTTTTACAGGCAGAGATAGCGGACTTCAGCGGTGTAATAGAAGTACACTTTTCTGACGAGGCTGCAGAGAAATTGATCGGGAAGCCGGCTGGTGGAATGGTGAAGCTGCATAAGGATTTGTTACGAACTAAGTGAATATATTCACTTATTCATTCAAGCATTGTTTAGCAAAAATGCTTCAACAGTGAATTGGAAGATTTGTAATGGGTCGGGTGTTAGGGAAATACAAGATCAAGACAAAATCATTCGAAAATATCGTTATATTGGGTTCACAAAGAGAAAAGACTTCAATAGCAACCAACTTTTCTCTCGAATATTCTGATGTGTTATAAGAACGCGTTCATACTTCGCGATCCGATTGCTTTGATTGCTCGCGATTGAACAATGGAGCGATAGGATCGCGCTATCGCTTCGCTCGAGCTAGCTATAGCTCACTAGCGCTCATACTTCACGAAACGGGAAAATAGAAGAATCGGCACCCGTCAACATTGATCGGGTGAAATGGGAGAACAGGAGAAACAGAGAAGGTGACTGGGCGAATGCGAGCCCAAGAACCGAATCAACCGACTTCGGTTATTAGCGATTCGAAAGAACCCGAAAATGGGAGAATCAGAAGACAGGTTTCAATCAATTCTTATCCAGCTTTCGTTCTCCCAAACTGTGTCTTCCCCTATGCTCCCATTTTCACTTATCAATATTTAAGCTTTCATTGGAAAAATATTCTCCGGTTTTTATATTCCCTTGCTCTTCCAGTGTCGCAAACTATGAGCGCGGCCTCATGCAGAGATTCAGTGAAGAATCTGAACACTGAGCGGTACTTGTCTTTAAGTTCGCTGTCGTCCTGCTGGATCCTGTCAGTAACTGTGGTCATCCCTGCAAACGATAGGACGAGTGAAGGGGCTTGAGTTGGGTCGCTGCTAGAATGGCCCTTCCTGCACTTGTTTGAAGGGACAAGGCTTCCTAGGCAGGGCTCCAATCCTTGCCCCGTCACACGCCCCATCGTTTGCAGGGATAGCGAATGTGCCCTGATTCAACAGTAATAAAAATCGCATAATCTGTCTAGCCCACGTAACCTTTGAGCCCTATGCAAATGCGGTGGCTCCCTAATTTTCTATCGTTGAAGAATTTCGAAATTACGGACAAATATGTACATAGAACACGCTCAAGACATTCCAAGATTAGTAATCGTGGATTGTGGGGTTCAAAAGGGAGTTTGCCAGCTGACCTAACAGTTGAAAAGTTAAATAAAGTTAAATAGTTAGACGTCGAAAAAGCTCAAAACCATCTTACAGTTTCATTTGAAAATCTCAGAACTTCTCAGAATTCCGAGAACTCAAACAATTTTTTTTACTTTTTTTATTCTATGCAGGCTCTTCCATGGCTATAAATGATATGGGTACATTGTGTTTCCCCAGCCAGAATCACCTAAAAGCATTTCAGTCGGGGAAAATAGACAATGTTTTTAGACTGTCTCCACTCTGCTATCGTCCGATGCTTTTCCGTATTTCTCAGCAAAGTTCGAGATGGTTCATCGATGACTGGAAACAACTCGAAATTCCGCGATTCAAACTGTTTCTGAAGAATATTGCTGAGCAAAAAGGTTACAAGTGAAGCTACCTGAGGGTCTGCTACATAATAAGATCATGTATCATATGAGATGTTTGTAATTTTTGAAATTGTTCCAAATTATTTATTTTATCATCACGATAATAAAGCAAAATGTCTGCAGTATGTCGTCAATGTGCCCTTACACATTATTCCTTTGTCTCACTGATTGCTGTGAAGTTGGCGCTGTGAATAGTTTTATTCATATTTTATAGGTTTTTACTGAGAAATTCTATTTGTTTGGATCTTTGTTGTGAAGCTGTAAATTTGTATTAAAATTTTAAAAATCTGTTGTGTTACTGTAAGCCCGCTGTAGGTAACTCAGTTTCTTGTACTTCATTCAGAGGCAATGTTTTGCGAACAGAATATTGTTGTACAACCTAATGGAGTCAGGGCACGTCGCAGGCTGAAAAACCCCGGGAGAGGGTCGTTTCGT